TTTACCACCAGTAAATGACTTTGTCGCTTTTAACATGAATATTTTCTTAAGCTTAATTCTTTTGTTTCATGTGTTTTGTTATTAGTTTAGTTTTAAAATAGATTTAGGTAAAATTCGTCCGTTTATTAAGCTTTACTGTTTTTTTTTTATTTGTGTATGTTTTTAATATTTTAATATTATTTATACAACTCAACTAGATGTTTCTACAACTTATTTGCTTGTGAGAATAATCTCCTTCGGAAGGCAAATATTAATATTTATTAATGAGATAACCATATTTGGTACTGAAATAAATTGAAAGTAATTCCCGTAGTAAAATCCAAGACACTTTAGGATTTTTTTGAGAAATAACTAATCGTGAACTTTTATTTTGTTCAGCTGGACCATTAACGCAGTGGGAACTGATATTCTACGGCACTGAGACTCCGGCGCAGGAGTATGACGCCTCCCCCGAGAGCAACTCTCTGGGCACAAACGGGGGCGGGGGCGCGAGTGCTGGGGCAGAAGGACAGAGCGGGGCGGGGGCGGGGGCGGGGGCCGGCAAGAGCACATGGGGGGGCGTCAGTCTGCCTGACTCCGAGGAGGTCAGGCAGAACGGCATCGACGATGATCTCGCTCTAGTTTGGCACGACTCTCACGCGGTGAGTAACTCGTATAGTAAATCTACACTAAAGCGTTACCTTAGTGACCGCTTAACGAGTTTCCAGTAGTTGAAGCTTGAAGTGTGATAAAATAGAATTATATTTTTGAATCACTTTCGATACAAGCTTTGAACTAATAAAAAAGGACTCAGTAGCACGGTAGTGTAGTTTTTAGTCATCTTAGCGGCTCACAACATCGCTCTGTATTATGAAAATATCACAAATTACTTAAACTAAGTATGAAAGTCTCAGAAACATTTAAGTTTAAAAAAAGCAACAAACGAGTTTTCTTGTATTTCTTTTGAATGTCGTGATTTAGTTGCACATTTCAAAGACAAAATACGATTGAAAATATCTTACTAATATTATAAATACGAAAGTTTTGATGGATGAATTGATGTTTGTTTGAAGGTATCGCCGAAAGGGCTCAACAGATATTCATGAAATTTTGCGGGGATGTAGAACATAGTCTGGAAGAACACATAGGCTACTTTTAGTTTATTGTAATACCGCACAGACGGAGTCGCGGGCGATAGCTAGTTGTAAATATTATGTATGTCAACATCAACAAGAGTGTCCACGTTGAAATTCTATTGGAAACGCGGCCGAGTCATTACTACAAACAATTGGAAACAATACATCAATGAATGAATCTCGTGTACACTACGCGCGTGCCGTTCCATAACAAAACGGTTCAATGTTAGATTTCGTACTTTTTTTTAATTCTACGAATATAAGTATGAGAAGGCTGTCTCTAGAAACGCTTTAAAAATATAACTTTCAACAAAAATTCTATACATTATGGTAAATTTTTGGAAAGTTCATTCAGAATCAAAATTAATATTATTTTACGAAAATCTGTCAGTGACCATTGCTATTATTTCAACTTAATTGTCTGAGTAGACCGAAAATAGATTAAATTTTGCGAATAAATTTATACAAATATGTTCACAACTAAAATAGAATGTTTATTTTTTTTTATCTTATATCTTTAAATGAGCAATTCAATGAGGAATCTCGGAATCGGCTTCAACGATTTTGATAAAACATAGTATATAGGGGGTTTCGGGGGCGATAAATCTATCTAGCTAGGAATCATTTTTAGAAAATGTAATTTTATTCGTGTTTTATCGATAATCAACGTAAACATAAACTTGAAAGAAAAATAACAAAAAGGAGGCGTTTGAGTAGTCTCAACTGAAAAATATGACTCTTCCTGACATCTATTTGGGAATAATAAAAAAAATACCGAGCAAAGGTCATCCAGGTACTTTTACATTTATACGAAGATATTTTAATTTGAAACGATATTAAATTATATTTCATATTTATTAAATTCTTTCACTAATTTTGTTTTGAGTTTTGCTCCACTAATTATCTAATAAATTGGTACGTTGAGTTCAATAACTTAAAATACATTAATATATTATATAAATAAATAAATGGATTCTAATTTGCAACTTTTATTCGACATAGATATTCCAATTATCCTGAGTAAGAGCTGAAGAAGCGAGTGTGGTACGATACATTTTAAATGTTCATTGTCGTTTAATTTACAATAACATAGTTAAAATTAAATATATATACGTATAAAACGAATCGTGTCTAAAATAACTAAAACTAAGTACCCACTCCTAAAAGGTTACAAAAAAAGTAGTTGACGTTAGTTTTAACTAAATACTAACTTTACTAAATACAAACTGTATTTAATACAAGATATTTATTGAATCGTTATTGTAAATTAGATTTACTAGTTTCTTTGTTTTTTTGTATTGTTAGTTTCTTTTGGTTAGCTTTGGTAAGTTATTTATCTGTTTCACAGATTCGGGAAGAAGGTTTACTGGGTTCGTCAGGATCATCGGAGACATCAAGCGGTGGGATATCAGGCTGCGCGACTCGGGCGCCACAACTTCCTCACCGTTGTTTAGGTTTGTGCCTTTTGCTCGCGCTGCTGTGGGCGGCGAAAGCTTTCCTAGCCGCTGACACACAGAGCGGAGATAGACTTTGTACGCGCGATGCACTAACCGCTTCGGTCAGGTCTACAACCGGCTATGACCGGATACAACCGGTGCAAGCCGCGCGGCCCCCGCGGGCGCCATGCTTGGCCCCGCAGCCGCTACGCTAGTGCCAATCCTATTGTGATCCTAGTTCAATTTCAAGCGCGTCTATCAATAAGTACAAGCTGCTATTATAATTTAATGTTATCAGTACTTAGTTTACTCATTTTGTATCTTTAACATCGACAACTTTGGTGGTAGACTACAATACTATAGTATCAGTTTTTACAAAAAAAATTATTTAGAAACACAACAAAAAGTAATTAAAGGCACTCGAAAATTTTATGGCTACAGATGTTTGGGAACCGAAACTTTATTTTATTTTAGTAAAGGCTTTTAACCCACTAGCAACTAAAACCCCTGACCGTCCTCCGAAAGAAGAACACTAAATGTTTAGGACTTATTTCTTCAATTCAATTGTGACCGTAAAAATTGTTGATGTTAATGATACAAAAAAATCTGAGTAACGGCCGCTGTCCGATCATAGACCTAAATCCGATATTTACTTTAAACCTTACACGTTGTGGTATCTTAGTTTCATCCATGAATGATTTACAGTAAGCCGATTTATTGGGCTGTCGTAATTTTAGAATTTAGTTGTAATTGTGTGTGTTAGATATTTTAAGCATAATAATTGGAGGTCCAGAACTTTCTAAACCCACGCCGATTTTGTGTTCAAAATATCGCATAATATAATCAGCATAATAAATTCTATTTATGAAAATTCTGGGCCTAAACTTTGTTAGTCGTATACAAAATATATATATGTATGTATGAGACTTTATATTATCTTTGTCACTACGACAATACACAATAATCGGAAATCATTCCGGAGATTTTTACTACAATTAGTGCAGATAGTGCCCGCAACTACTAGTGTAACGACTAAAAACTATAAACTTAGTTGTTAGCTCAAATATCTACTAAATTTAGTGAAAATTCTTTCTAATGCCAGATTAAAGAGCTAAATAACAAGTGCAATTACGTTGTAATAATAAAATTTAAAAACCTATTACGTCCATTTTAAAGAGTAATTGCATTGAAATTATGATTACTTGATAGAATGGCAAGTGATCATTGAATCATTGAAGAAAATTATTTGCATTCAAACTTAGATTATACTAATGGCGCAACTGTCAAAACATTAACGTTCCGTTCTAACGCTGATAAAGTAATTAAATATTTCTTTACTCTAAATAAAAAAAAAATTATTACTAATAAATTACATTAGTTTTTTTGCTCTATTTTAATAATACAACAACGTATATCATGTTAATAATTAATTTTAAATTTCTTTAGTGGAACGGAACGTTTTAGTAGCTGTCATCGGTCATAATAAAATATAGATAACCTATTAAAACCTTTGCCGAGTGTTCTGTATTAAAGATGTTATGACATTTTGTTATCTTTATTGATTTATTTTATTTATTAATTCTCTTTGAAAAAATATATTATAGAACAATATGTTTTTGCACAAATGTTTTAACAGTAATATATAATGCAGTTTTGTTATACTTTTCATACAAATCTTTTTATCATCGCACGTAATAATTTTAGGTTATAATTTAAAACATAACAAATTAGCTACAAAGTGATATTTATATACCCATATCATTATGCTTATTTTAATGATATACATGTATCAATTTAAAACGAATGCCAAATATGAACGCATTTACTTGTTTGGTTTCATATGTAAATTATTTATTGGTAATTGAGAATATGATTATTTAGTTTTAGTAAGACTTTAGTTAAATAATTGCTACTATACAGCTAATATGTTATATCGATTTTAAATGAATACTTACAACTTCCATATTTGTGACTTACCGTGGGTTTCTAAAATCAAAATCCATGTTATCTCTGTTTTGACACATAAAGAAAGGGATGACGATATGTTTTATAGTGATTTTGGTGTCAGAAACCCACGGTTAGTCTTTGCACAAAACCAAGTCTAGCCCATGGCCTAATTACTGTTATTAAGGTGCAACATTTTGGATTGAAGGATAACTGCCTCGTATCTTATTTAACATAGTTAGTTTCTATTATTAAATGGTACATAGAAAATATTTGAATTAATATATAGATTCGGAGATATATCTTTAGAACATGCCGTAGACCTTGCAGATTTATACAATTCAATAGATGTATTCTTTTGTGAATGTCTTCCATTTTGTCGTTATCCATATCCAGTCACTTCCAAGCCCATTTATAAGATGTTACGTACCTTTGTTACTTCCATTAAACAAAGAGTTGTGTTATTTATTTAAAATATACATTTGTTTTTATTTATGCTGATTTAACATTGATGAGTGTCGAATTTAATCTTAAACCAGGTATAGTGCTATGAAGGAAATTACATAGCGACTGTTTTACAATAGCTTATGTAGTTTTAAATTTAACTTTTAGTCTGTATTGTTATTTGAAACTCTTCAGTTTTAAACTTTTCACTGATTATTATTTATCATCATTCCGGCATATAAATGTTGAAGAAAACGCGATTGCCGTAGATTTACATGCCCAGATTACTTTTTATTAGTTTTAAATGCATTTATGTATAATTACTGCCTTGGTTAATCGATACCAAAATGTTGCATCTTTATGTAGATAGGTTTTGTACCTTCATGTTACGTATAGTTTTTATACAACAATATTTATTTGCTATTACAAATTAAAAGGCGATGGTTTGGCAACAATTTGCTTGCAAGGATAGTCATGGTACACATATCTATTGTTACAAATTGAATTAGTTACGTATTAAGTTACTTTAGTTTATTTTATTTTAGAGATCAATCTTAGAACATTTCTTCAGAATATAGACTAGATATTGTTTTAGAAAACCTTAATTGAGTTGACGTTCTTCGTCTTCTTAATTACAGCTAATTTTGTTCCATCACAAATTAATGAATAGTTGATAGAAATAGCTATCTCTGTCTACCACATTTGAGTTAAAAGACGTGAGATTTATGCAAATAGTATATTTTTTACATGTAAATTTGTAATACAAATTACTTTTACCCAGAAAATACATTTTAACAAAGCAGAAACATTTCTAAATGGCATAAGGCCTCTAGCACATTACCACGAAAATGGGAAAGCGAACTAAAAGATTAATTTGGATTCGGTTAGTTCCAGCGAATCGTTTAGCAAGGAGACTCCGCAAAAATCTTCTATAGAATGAACTCTATTCTATGTTTTTGATGCAACGTTTCGCTTCGGTTTCGCTTTTTTCGCGGTCGTATGCAATCGGCCTTCTATATAGTTCGTATATCAGTGGAGATAATCTTGAACTATTGTCTATGTGGTTGTGATCATAGCTTCGATTGCCAATCCGTTAAGATAGTATACATAACACGTAATGTAAATATAATTAAGATAGAACTATCATATGGGTATAATAAAAATAAATTTGGAGACTTGTACAAATTTGCTCAGATTCATACGTTAGGAACGACTGATCGATCGTTACTCGTTGACTGGTAGATAAACTAAATTACTGTATGAAAATCGATGTAATGTTTAAGATTATTAAGGTAAATCGTGTGTGTATCGCTTTTAAAATTTATACTCTTTTGACTACGGAAAACAAAACATAATACGAATTTTAATACCTTTAGTACCGGGTATTTGAGTTGGCACATCTGCAAGAAGAGTTTTCGTATCTACGACGTGCCAATTATAGCTTCAAATATAATAACTTTATGGAAGGAAATAAAACTTAGTACATTCAACTACGAAAATGTTTAAAGCAACAGAAGAGTATAATTTTATTAGCTAATAACTTGGACATTCAGTTTTGAGTGCGGTTCGATGGGTAAAGCTCATTTTTACAACAGTTTTACTGTTTAATTGTAAAATTGTTAATAGTGATCATCGTGTAGGTAATCAGTGAACTGTATTGATTATTGTAAATGTTACTATAATTTGTATATATCGAATCTGATGTGAAAGGAAAATAATAAAAAAAAATGTTTCCTAAAAAACAAAATTTTATTATAAGTGGTATTCGAGTCTTGTCTCTGATCGCAGCTTTGGCCATAGACATATAGATAGGGTTTTTTTATGTTAATAAAACGTCACTTTGTAAAATATTTGCAAATATTTGTTATGTTACGTTTTGTATGCCGGCTTTGCTTTTTATCGCTTACTAATGCTTATTTATGTTTCCTTCTGCCACAATTATTGCTGCGCACCGAGTACAATGATTACTTAAACATCTCTTTAGTGTAGGTTACCCGTGCTAAATCTACACTAAGGGTCTTTTTCTTAGTGTGGCAGTTAACAGCTCTTTTTAACGCATCTTATGTATCTTGTTACTTCTGTTGCTTGTTCTAATTGTTGCAATCACCTGATTTCATTTAATTTTGTGCACCTTACATTGCATGTCTAAATGTTTGCATCTTCGTCGACAAAACATCAGCCATACACAAAGTTATTTGAGATCAGTGACGAGATTCTAATTACCATTCCTTACCTAAATCCTTTATTCTTTAATCCCTTGTATGGACTAAGTGACTTCGGCGCAACTTCTGCATCATTCGGCTGAGGATGGCATCATGCATGGACGCGGCGGTGCTGGCTGGTGGCGGAGAATATACAATACATATTTAACTCTAATTAAACGATTGTGTTCTCTCTTTCATTAGAATGCGCGAAGGGTTTGCACTTGTACGACGGTCGATGTCATACGAGATGTCCCGACGGTACATACGCCAGCGAGATTCTAATGGAACGCAGCTCGAGGAGACGGAATCTTACTTATTTTTCTGAACAAGCTGCTGCAAGCGATAGTAAGTCTGGACCGACGGCAATGGAAGCCGTAGATATGGAACCTCGATCTGAAACAAAGGGGAAAGCACCCTTATTATGTCTCCCTTGTCACTACACCTGCGCCACATGTTCAGGCCCACATAGCAGTCAATGTACTTCATGTTTAGACGACGCCCAGTTATTCAATTTAACAGACAGCGAATCTAAATTTTATTGTTACCCGAATACTGTTCTTCCACAGATAACGAATGCCCATTGGTATTACAATCTTAATGTTATCTTGGTTATTGTATTAGTTGCATTTATCGTCATAGGATTTTATATTTATTTTAAATATTTGAATGATAAATGCTGTTTAAATCAAGCGCATTATAATTCGAACATAAAAGTGGCTTACAACAAGCTGGCTGTTGATGACAAACATCAGAGCGCGTTGGAAATCGAGGAGGAGATACACAAAGCGATCAAATACACGACTGATAGTGAATCAGAGGAAGAGCTTCGCTTGTAGCGAACATGAATTTGCTAATTGACACGTAGCAATGCAGGGTTGGATTTGTGATTTTATAAATCTGTCACAAATATGGATAACGCAGGAATTTTTAGAAATTTTATATAGAACTATTTAAACTGGATTGTACTTTTAATGTACGATTTAATATGTTTATTTCATTCCAAAAAATGTGATAAAACATTCCTTTATTTTGATAACGAAATTGGAATTATAAGTTTGTCTATAGTTCGAAGATAAATAACAGGGGACCAAAAGAAATTTAAAAAAAAATTGAATAAATCTGAGTATTTTGCTTACATTAATATTCTAAATTCAAATGAGTTCAAATTTTAACATTCAAGGGTCATTGCGCAAATACATAAAACCACAAGCTCTTGCAATTTCAAACGTTTGGCGAAGTAATGGCGGTAACCAGACTCTCATCCAGTTATCGACCCCTATTTTAAATGACCTTAATGCATATTAGTAACTTTTGCTAGTTTCACACGAGGGTAGGTAACAGTAAAGCAGAGCATGTACTAATATTGTTTATGCGCACATTTACAGTAAATCAATAGCAGTACTGTTCTGTGTAACTTTTCTCGCCTTCGTATGAATATTGATTAAATATTAGTACATATATCTTTCTACATATAAATTATATAAATGGTTACTTTAAGTTGAAAATAACATAAGAACTCGTGATTCATCTTCTACTTAAGATTTGCTCAAGTTGCCATGTCGTATTTAGTGTATATAATTTTAAAGTTTTTTGAGCTATTCATTTTGTAAATAGAATTTTTTTTTGTAAATAAACAAGTTCCTATTTTCATGTTTGTTTTATTTCCGAAAAAAAAGTAACGAAGAATCGACGTTACGAACATATCGGGGCATGAAAGGGCATAGAGAGCATGATTTTACTTCATATTCACCTTGCATCACAAATTCTATCATAAAAGGCAGCATCATAAATCCTATCGAAAGAGACAGCGCCAATTTGCAATGTTATATTATGTCGAATAATCTTAATTTACACTACTTGCCGCACGCGACGTTGATTGCTCGGATTTGAAAATAAAATAATTGAGTAGCATATGTTTTCTTCCAGACTATGTTCTACATCCAAATTTCATCAAGTTCCGTTGGACTGTTCTAAAGATACCTTCTAACAAACATCCATCCATCCTTAATATTAGTAAGAAGTAAGATAATATAGTTATATCAAAATTAATTAACAAAGCGGCGAATAATTCGTAATCGAATTCAGCGTTGATAATTTAAATCATGTAGATTATTACATAATATTTACCTAATTACATATCAAGCGAGTGAATTAGGAGTTTCGTAGTAACGTACCATTAAATAAATTGTTTTCGATATAGGTTATGATAGGCACTGGAGGGTTAGAAAAAGTGTATTCGAGACGATTCCATATCAAAATCAAAAATGTATGGGACTGACGCGCGACTATCACGTGACTTATCGAAAATTATTGTCAGTTCTATACATTTTTGGAGTTCGTTATGGATTCGCTTTGTAGCGAATTCACTTTGTGTAACCTCGCTGATATGCGAATTATTATATAGGTTTTTACTCAATTCTGAGAGCTAATTAGTAGAACACCGAGTGAATACTTGTGAAACGATTAATTTAAAAGAATTGGGACAGAAAATAACATTTAAAGGGAAAGATTCGTTGTCGCAAAAAATAAGCTTTCTTCCAAGTAACATTATTAATAAGTTTTTTTCGAGTAATATGGATTGTTAAACTTCTGAAAATTCTTAAGAAATATTTCTTATTCGTAACTTGACAAAACAAAAAACTTCTGTTAAATCCTCCTTTGAACTCATTTGAACAACTTAGTCTGTAATTTATCATTATCAAAACATACAGAAAACATATTTGTCCTTAAAAAGCATATCTTACTTAAAACAAGGTTAGTCATGCGTGTAACAGTTGTAATAACTTTAACTTAATTTACTCAGATTTAAATAAAATAACTTGTGTGAACTAAAATTTCAAAACTAACCTAACTAAACTATACAATAAGAAAAAAATGTGTGCGTATTTATCCGTAACATTTCCAATACTGTCATCAATTTGGTTAGTTTAATTAAGAAAAGCGAACGTCCGTGGCTTCTAATAGAAAGAGGGTTATCTGACAAGGCAGTCCCCCTGCTGCCGCTTCAGACTGACGTTTCAATGACAATTGCTCGTAAAAGGTATTACGGAAACCCTGTTCAATTCACAATTCCAATATTGTGTCCCGAGAATAATACAGACTTATATACCTACATTGATCGATAAGTATTAAAGTAAACAAAGACCAATGATGTTGCCAGCTATCCTCAACGCCTGGTAATTATGAATAGCAAAATATCGAATAAAAACTTTATTCTTTAGAACATAGAAACTAATTATAATTTACGTACTAAAATTTAATTAAATAAATGAAAAAATAATTAACAAGCATCCAAATAAACAAGAAATCTCACTTTCTTCTTACTTCTTACGTACTGACTTCCTTATGTTTCTTTTCTGTTATTTCCATATTAACTCGATAATTCCACAACGGTTCAACAGATTTTTATAAACTTTAACACAGACATAGAACATAGTCTAAAACACATCCTATTTCTTTCAATTCCGCGCGCAAGAAGGAGAAATACCAATAATAAATAACTAATACCTATTTTAAAAACACTTTCACGGCTATATGAATGAATGTTCCGGAGTAGACAAAACTTATAGAACCGTAAACTATATTTATTACAGAATATTGCACGTACGTGTTTCCTTTATCGATCGAGCACAGAATTTCGCATCTAAGGGAGCACCCTAACAGAGAAACGGATTTACGAACCCCTCGATATATTGGCAATATGTGGGTAGAATCATTAATAATTGAACATTTGTGTTAGAATAGTGTTATCAATTGATTATGACATTACTCTAGGCGTAAAAAAACAATATTTAGATTCTAAAAGTACTGAACAAAACATACTTAAAATTGTTCATGGATTTTAATTGAGTTTTTGAAACCAAAATCTATCTCTGTTTTCTTTACAGATAGTGACAGAGATGACTGATGATATCTCCCTTTTGATTTTCACTCTTTGCAATTAATGGATCGTTTAAATCTTTAGATACTTGAGTTACATACAAATTAAATTTTTAAAAACTTTGTTCTGAACTAATTTAATTCAGTATTATTATCGATTACAGAAATATCTATATTTATAAAATAATACTAGCAATATCGAAATCTGTGAACATTGATAATTTAAGTTCACTTTATCCAGAAACGTAAATCTTTTGAGATCATCTCGAAACTTTTGAAGGTAAAATTAAATATCTTCAAACATTTAAATGTCTTGCAAAGGCTTCTCATTGTAATCCGACTTCTATTTTAAAGGATAGTATTGCTACTACATTATTAATTAAATTGTTTAACGCCTGATATAAATAAATATCTAAAACTTACTATAGATACTTATTGATATTCAAAATGATATTCAACTTTTTTTAAAAACTGGAGTCTAAATTACTCGTAAATTGATTTAACCCCGAAATAGTCCGCTTAAGAGTTAGGGAAATAGCTACATAAATACATTTCCTAACTCATTATAAGTTCACAACTAGTCAAAGTTGCTTAATTAAACTTGAAATTTGGACAAATATGTTTTAACTTTATGAAAGTTGGTTCCTAATTAGAAATTATTTTCTTTTACTATGAAATAAGAAGTTTTATGTTAAATTTATCTATATACTACGCAAAGACAGTTACAAAAAATAAATGTTTTTATACAAGACCTATGTCCAGCTGTGGAAAGGTACAGCATGTTTGGATTAATAGTTTATAACCACAAGAAACCTTCAAAAATCAAATTATAGTGTACTTTAGTGTTTGTACATTCTAGATAGTATGACACAGCACTGATTTACTAGAAGTGACCTATTTAAAAAAAGAAAGGAGAGTAAAACACAAATACTGGCACGTGCATACAACAAAAAACCAATCGCTAAAATGCGTCCCCCGTGTACAACAAAAGGTTTGTGTTAGCTCTGACGCCGGATAATACGTGAATGGACTTCACAATTTTCTCATTTATCCTATAGAAATCTATATTAAAGTCTTCTTCCTGCTATTAAACAACTATTGATTAATCATTAATTTTTACTTACAGAAACTATATTAAAGAACAAGCTGTCGCCCGCGACTCCGTCCGCGCGGAATTAAAAAAAAAACTATTCGTCGCAGCGTAATGTTATATAACCTAAAGCCTTCCTCTTTTAATGGACTATCCAACAAAAAAATAATTTTTCAAATTGGAACAGTTGTGCCTGAGATTAGCGCGTTTGTTTAACAAACAAACAAACTCTTCCGCTTTATAATATTAGTATAGATTTGTTTTAATTAGTTTACCATTCAAATCTACAGAAATAATTACTAATCGATTTAAAGTTCTCACCAGAAAGACTCTTACTTAGGTAAAGAAAATCACCTTGTTGGAACCTTGCGAATTCTAAATATATGTCTGAAGTCATTCAAACCTGTACTAGGACATTGTGGTTGAGTCTATTCAAGTAATCAGGAGTTTTTTCCAATGGGAAAAACATTCACATCGGTGGGCCGATCGTCCTAATAGGATACACCCCTTCGAGCCCCTCGGTAGAGGTACACGAACTGAGGACACACTTGTACATACCTTAATTAATACTTAGAACGGTGAATCCTGACAGTCAGGCAAAAATACGAAATTTCTAGGAAAAGGTATACCTGAGCAGAGTAATTTTGTCCTCGTTACATCGCGCTACGATGTTGCTGTGGTTTCAAGCGTCACTATAATTATCTCAAGTTCTCGTGACATACATTTTTCCTTGCTTTCATCACTCTCATGTTCCTTTAAAGAAAACATTGATATATTGTTTTCATATTTTTTTATATCATAAGGTGGCAAACGAGCGAGCGGCCACCTGAAATCGCTGAAATAGCGAAGTGACCGTTGCCCATAGACATACGCAATTGCATATGCGTTGCCTACCTTTAATCGATGGAGGAGTGAATGCACAGAAAGAAAATATTTTCCCTTTCCACGCATCCTCTCATCCGGAAAGTCCACTTCCACTTCCCATCATTTCCTTATAAGAAAAAGGGTGGGAAGGGAAAGAGGACTAATTTTGGCCTCCGGGACGCACACTCATCAGACGAAACGCGGAATTGCTTCCACTTCACGCCCGTCTTCTGTGTGGTCGTGGTATTTCACCGGGCGAGCCGGGCCGATTCGTGCGAAGATGTTAAAGCGGGCTCTACCACTGTTACACTACACAGGACAATATTTCAGTAACCGTTTATAACTATTTTAAAAAGTTATCTATTTGTCTTCTGTTTTCTTGATATTTATAAAATAGCGAGTAACATTTTCATAGTATAATTTTATTTTGTATATCTCAGAATTGAGCTCGTAAGTGCTTCGAAGTACAAACGCTTGACAAGGCTGTACACAATCACAATAGACTCACTCAAAAGTCTCAGATAACGCGTCTCAACAATATTTAATATATGAGGTGTATTTCTCTATGTAGGAAAAATATATAATACCTGTAAATTACCATTGTAAATTCTATATCCATCCATCATAAGTAGATTAATATCTGGAACAAATATAGAACTAATTAGAATGTTGATTTTTTTTATATTATAAGGTGGAAAGTGTGAAAGCGGCTATAGATATCCGAAATTGTAGATGCATTGCCTGCCATTAACCGACGGATGAATGCACATAAAGATCTTTTAAATTTTACGTCCAA